CAACAACAACAAAAGGGGGGATTAAAACACAGATAATTGCTTCCCTGGAATTCAGTTTGAGAAGTTACAGCAAAGGGGTAGTTATATGTGCTAAGCACAGAGAAGTCCAACAAACTCAAAATTAAGAAAATAACCTGATCGCATCTAACTAACTATTCTCTGTTCTACTCACATAACTGTAGTTCCAAGATTTAGTCCTTCCGTAGGATGTTACTGAATTCGCCATGCTTGGTTTCCTGGCTTAATTCCTGTATTCCAGGCTCTTCTCGAGTCACACAACAAGAACAGGAAGATCACTGCTTTCATTTCAAAAGCACATAATTTCTTTCCATTGGCTCTCCTGGCTTCCTGACAACTTACTTCCTGCTTCCCTAGCATGCCTGGGGACTCTCTAAGACATACGGTCTACGGTTTTAACCCTTGCCCACAAGTCAATTAGGTTTAGGTTTAAAGAGTTAACCACTACTGCGAAAATATATTACCTAATTGAATGACTGGAATGTCCAGAAAATGTGTTACCTCTTCCATTCATCACAGGTTGTGTCTATACTTTTAAAATACCCTTTTTAATTGCCAGAGCAGCATTCAAGAGCCTTAGTATAACTAAGAAAAGTCCCAGAATCTGGGAGTTATTGAGAGACAATAAATATAGACCACGACAATGCCATTTTTCAGAGTTGCAACTAGCTAGTTTGGTGCCTGAGGCAAAACCGTCCTTGGCATGGGCGTTTCGGTAACCAGGTTTGGTTCTTTAAAGGATTTGAAACCACAGACAGGGGAATATTTCTTTTTAGGGTCAAACAAATATTTTTATTTTTCTATTTACTTTATAATTAATTTTCCATTTAAGTCAATTCACTATCTTTGATTCTTTTAAGACAGTGTAATATACAAATAAAAAGTAGAAAAACAGCATAGTTAAAAAACAAGAAATAATAACTCCTCCTACAGATATACCCTCCAGATTTACCTTTAAACAATTTATGGAGTTAAATATATAATACTCACATAAAGAAAGATAGAAGCATTGTTTAGATTCAGGAGATATTCTTTTCATTATGTCTTTCCTTTTTTGGATTTTTTCGTTGCAACTTATTGGTGTTGTTCCTCTTTTGGAGCTTATGTGTGCCAGCGAGATTCAGCACCCGGAAGGGAGCCCTGGTTGATCAGACCTAGCTTTTTTGGATTCGCAACTCATCCACTCTTGGTCTGTTCCGTCCAACCTTATATACCCTGTTTCGGTATTTCAGTATTCCTCCACTCGCCTGACAATTGCTGACGTTAGATTTTTGTTGTCTCATTCTGCCCTTTCAAAACTTTCGTCTGCTCCATCTGGGGTAATTAGCACTTTGTTGCATATTGCAGTCTGAGTTGCATATTGCAGTCTAAAAGCGGGGTTACTGTTGGTCATCCAATCAAATTTTGGTTTTTTCATCTTACAACTCCTATATCTCACAATGCTGCCTTTCCTTTACACTTACAATTAAACTGGTGCTCATTTGACATATTCTGAGTAGGCCTCAACACCTTCCTTTCACAGGGCAGGGGTGCTGATGTGGCACGAGGCACGAGTGAAGACAGCATAGTAGCTGTCTTTTCTGCTCCCTCTCAGCTATGCGCCTGAGGCAAGTGCCTCACTTGCCTCGCCTTTGTTACGGCCCTGCCATTTTTACAGAATCTCTTTGCAAAGGAGGATCATGGGTTAACAGAAGCATTGATGACTATGAACCAGTTATAACGGAAACATTACCTGTGCAGTAGACAATCAGACACCAGAGTGATAACTGCTGTGCATTTACTTGGAGAAATGGATGTAGAGCCTGATAAGATTGGCCATGGAAGGGCAAATAATCAAGTCCTAAACAACCAAAAAAAAAATAATACAGACATGGGGGAACAGTCTCTCATTTGACTTTGAGTATCACTCAGTTTCTTAACAAGAATTATACTGCAATCAATTAAACAAAATAAGTAAATCAATATGCGATGGGTAATACTCTCACATTTCTTCATCAGGTGCTGTTTTCTACTTCAAGTGCTTTAACACAGCACTTATTTTTCTGCATTCTGTGCTATTTGCTGCTTTCTTGAGAAGTTCAAGGTACAGACACAGCATAATGCCATTTGCTTTATATTTCTTTTGCAGTAAATTATAATGCTGCCTTCCAAACCTATCCCATTATTGTACATACTGACTAGACATTTAGTTGCACCAGAGCTCTGTTCAAAGCAGCTGAGTAGAGAGAAAGTGCAAAAGACTTAGCATTGAGCTTGCTTAATTTCCAGGGCTCCCAAGACTGTAATTGCCACTGGCTTTTAATGGCTCCCAAGGGTTTGTAGGTCTGAGATCTCTGAAGAGCAGCACTCTCTAGAAAGGATCCAGCATGTCCACACTAGGGATGTTAACAGGTAGTTGGTTAAACCATTATCTTAATGGTGGATGCTTACCAGATAACGGTTAATCTGTACCCAGGAGCAGTCCCCCTGCTTGTAGCCCAGCCATGCCCCCCCCCCCCCATGTGGGCGGGGCAGGCGTTACAGCAGGGACACCTACATGGTGGCCGGAAATCTCAGCAGCAGCCCACATATGGGGGCAGGAAGCAGCTAGGCTGGAGGACCCTTGCCTGTGGCAGGGGCTGTTCTAGCCTGAGCCCAGTCAGTCGGGGGAAGGGGCACTTCAGAAGGACTAGAGCCCCTCTGACCACACTCCCTTTAATTAGTTAAACAGTTAAAACAATGGCAGCAGTGCATTTACCTGTTTAACCAATTAAACAGGATTTTACATCCCTAGTCTACAACCATTGTTAGGGAACCAGGAGGGAGTAGTGGTTAGCCAGCTATGGTGGTGAAATAATCAGATGCCTGCTAAGAGCAGTTTAGTGGCCACTTTTTACCACTAAATTAATTTAAAGAACCATAGCTTGAGTCAAAACCTGCCCCCTTAATTTTGTTAGTACCCTGGAAAAGTTTTCCTGCTTATTATCTATTATCCACCTTTGATTTCTTACGCAAAACCCACACTATCTAATCTAATCTAATCTAATCTAATCTAATCTAATCTATCTTTAAAATTTGATTTATTTGATTTTTCTTTTGAGGTATAATGTCTACCATGTACTATTTTGTGTTTTAAAAGTGTATATCCTAGCATATTGTCTTATAATTTGATTGTAAACTTTTTGGGGCTTCTTTCTGTTCTGTTTTTGTACTGCACCTAACACAATGGGGTCCTGATCTATGATGACAGTTGCTAGATCTTATGGTAACACATAAAATAATAAAAATAACAATGTGATATGTCAGAAAATCAACTTCCTGAAAGGTACATGCTGGGGTGAAATAGTTTTATTGTATATGTAGATGATGCACCATAAACTTTAATGTTTATGGTACTACTTTTAGGTAAAATTTAAAGAATTGATTTTTTTTGGTGTTAACAACAGTACAAAATAGCAGTCAGCCACTTTGTAGACAAATTAATACTTCTTGCATATAACCAAAATTAGAATGATATATGAAAATACCTGTAATAATTGTTACAGTATTATCTTAGGTTCACAATCAACAACAATTTGACACCCTTCCAAACAAACAAAATCTGCCAAAAAACCCAACCCCTCCCAATTTACTTATATCAAATTTACTCAAACCAGAACTGATCACCACAAATTTTCTTGGATATAATCTGGAAATTATGGCCCTGAACGTGAAATTAGACCCACGTGGCTAGATATGTGAGTTGCTTGTAAAGAAAACAATTTTTTCAATCAGTATTTTGTATGGTTTGTAATGTGTGCCACTTAGTGAAGCTGAAAGAAAAAAGCCACTTCTGACATCTATGGATCACTGTCACGATATCTTGATACTGGATGCTAGCTAGAAAGCTAATTATTATTCTTATTTGTTTGTAATAGTACCTATAATGAGCTATATGCATCACAATCCTGAAAGTTAAACACCGTGTCTACTTTTATTGTTGCTTGTCCCATTAAGCAAGGCACTATGTAGGCAAATTGGGGGGGAGGGGAGAAAAAACAACTAATAATCTGGTATAGACTAACTCGGCTACCACCTGAAGCTGGGGGGAAAAAGGCAGTTCCCATCCTGAAGCACAGCTCTATGTGTTTCAAACGCTTGAGGGCTACAATAACACTGCATAATTCCTGTCCTGTCAGACATTAGGTATCCGATGGCTACAACAGGTGGGCTAAAGAGGCAACTAGAGTGGGAGGAATGGATGAAGATGTAAGAAAAGAAATAGAATTTGCAACAAAATACAAGACCTTGCTTGCTATATATATATATATATAGCCTGGTTTACAGATAGTAACCTGAGTGCAATTAGAAAGTGAACGTATGCCTGAAAGTGCATTAAAGGCTGTTACAAGGAGACGGGAGGGGGAAAATGTTCTCCTTAACCTTTAAGGACAGAACAAAAAGCAATGGGCTGAATTTGCACCGAGAGTGGTTGAGGTTGGGCATTAGGAAAAACTTATGTTCAGTTCGGTTAAGCACTGGAACAAATTATCCAGGGAGGTTGAGGTATCTGTCTCCAGCACTGGAGATTTTTAACCGCTAGTAGACTAAGAGCTGCCAAGGATTGATCTATAATCCGTAGTCCTGCCATGAGTGCCGGGATGAGATGACCTCTGGAGGCCCCTTCCAGTCCTACCACTCCATTCAGGTGGCTGCAGGGAATCTTTGCCTTAGCCCGTCTGCTCTTAGAAATCGGGGGAAGGATACAAGGTGCAGCAGAGAGAAAGCAGAAGCAGCCGGTGCAAGGTGCAGCCCCAGCCTGCAGCGCCCCGCAGCCCCCCGAGCCCGGCCAGCACGCGGTGTGCACCAGGGCTCCGCTGAATTTCTGTCCCTCCCCCGCGCTCTTCAGCCGTCCCCGCCGCCTCCCTCCTGCCGGTGACTCTGCCTGGCCCGGCGGCGGCGGCGGGGTTGTTTCCAGGCGGAACCCGCCTGCGCGGGAACTGGCGCGCTCGGCAGTGTGCGCCGCCGGTCGGCGGAGCCAGGACACCGCCGGGCTCCCGCCGCCTCCTTCCTCCTCCTGCTGCCGGGCTGAGCGGCGGGGTCCTCGGTAGCGTGACACAGAGCAGCCGCCTCCGCGCCCCTCTCCATGGCAGGGAACTTCTGGCAGAGCTCGCACTAGTGAGTGGCCCCTGGCGGCGCGGGGCTGCCCTGGGGCGCCTGCTGCGGCAGGAGGGGGGCGGGGCCGGGCGGAGGCGGTGCCCGGCTGTCGGGGTGGCCACTGGCCAGCCAGCTGGGCTAGGGGCTGTGGAGACCACGGCCGGGTGGCCCGGGCTTTTACACCCACCCAGGCGCTCTTTAACCCGGTGAATTGCTCATGCAATTCAAGTTCGCTTCGGATTCTCCCCCTCCTCCCGTTTCCACTGCATTATTTGTTTTAAAGCGAAGGCCATAGAAAACTTATTAAACTAACGTGGAAAGCTGTAAAGTGGGGTTGGAGGAGTGGACAATGACAATAATTTATGAATCCTAATAGAAATGACTGTTTCTCCCCTCTCCACGGTTTTGGCACATCCAAATTGTGAGCCAGAGAATGTGGGTTTTTTAACAGACAAAACAAAATGAAAAAAAAAATTTCTCCAAGCAATTGAGAAGGAAATCCAGAGTGTGACACTAAAACTTGTGACAGAAGGAAGAATAGTGTGATGGGAGAGGAATGTCTTTTGGCAAAAACAGGGATATGACCATTTAAAATAGGATCCATAGGGAGTTATAATTGATAATTTATTGTTAATTAAAATGACTTAAATGCAAATATTTATAAATAATAAAATAAAAACCTATCTGATTTACTTTAGGAGTTAGAGTATATTTATGTCTACATATTTAAAACAGCTAATACGTTTTTTTGGCTTAGTAGCAATTTTCATGACAACTGCAGTTTAGCTATTTCCTTTCTCTTCTATTTTGTTCGTTACTCACTTGGCTACCCTGATTATAATAAATGGAGATGCTCAAATGCACAACAATTATTTACCAATAAATGCCTAATTTTCCATCTCACTCCAATGTAGGTATACATAGGTGAACTTTCTAGATTTATACGTAGCCCAAGGCTGCTCAAAATTACTTTAGGTGCTGCCCACCTCTGACGGGGGAAGACTTTGCATGTTTCCCCTGCCTTCATGCAAATCATCAGCTCCCATTGGCTAGTTCTAGATAATGGGAACTGCGATGATTGGCCTGCGACAGGAACAGAGTGCAAAGTCTCTACTCCCCAGGTGGAGTGCATGGTACAGAGCAGTACATGGAGGCTGTTTGGGGCAGCCTGGGGCTGTGGCAGGCATCCCTGTTGGGCCGCTGGCCAGGAGCCACCTAAGGTAAGTGTCTACCGGCTGGAGTCTGCCTCTGGCACCCCACTATCTCCCACTCCCCAGCTCCCTGCCCCAGATCACCACATAAACTTTCTGCACCTCTCCATCCCAGGTCACAACTCTCTCCCAGACCCTGCATCCCCTTCTATGCCCCTTCCCCAGGTCAAAATCTATTCTTGTGCAAATACCCCCTCCTGGATACTGTACTCCAATACACTGCCCCAGATCACAACCCCCTTCTTCACTCAAACTCCCTTTCAGACTCCTCACCCTCTCCTGCACCCCAATCCCCTACACTGAGCTCCCTTCTGCACCCAACCTCCATCTCAGGCTCTGCATCTCCTCCATAGAAAAGTACAGTCCTTGACCACTTACAAAAATCTTGGAGTGCCCCCCCATCAAAATTATTACCCATCTCAGAATTAGACTCTCACAAATGAAGTACATGTGTAAATATTTGTATGAAGCATCTGAGTAATAATGTTGGAAACTGATTAAAAAAGCTAATTGTAGCATCCCATCTTATTAACACTTTTAAGCAGTTGTATATTGGGAGTGCAGTAGAAAAGCCGCAAATGCTCAAGGAATGGCTGTATAAATACTCAATGTCGAATAATAAACTGAACCAAGAAGAGAGAGAGAGAAATCAAAAGTTAAACTAAATACATAAACAGGGCTCGACAAATAATGTAATCTACTTGCCCGTGGCGAGTAGATTACAACCCAGAAGAGCCAGCGCAGAGCGATCTGCACATGTGCAAAGCGATCTGCACATGCGCAGAACGCAGAACAGCACAAAATCACGCAGCTGGCGAATGGGACTTGCTGCCGCTTGGCGAGCCCTGTACATAAAGTAGTCAAGAATGAAGTGTTACCATATTTCATTATTATACAAGAATGAAGACTGCAGAGCAGTTCAGTTCTGAGTATACAGAATTTTAAAAACTCATATTTGAAAAATATAGAATAAAACATAAATAAGTGATAGTTTATCAGTTGTATAAAGTTTTCAGCAACAAAATTAAAATAAATCCTCTTACTTTTTGTTTTTTCCCCAAAGCTGACTGTAATGACCCTAATGAAAATTTATTTCACAAGCATGACTCTCTTATTGCAAGACTTGATTAAAGGGACACTATCAACTTGGTTTCCCACAAATGTAATCTGCAATCTAATGGAGTTGAAGACATTGCATAATGTTTGGGCATAGTTTTTTTTAAATTGCTTTCCCTCTCCAGTTTACAATGGATTTTGGATAAGCAAGATCTGTTGAAGGAACGCCAAAAGGACTTGAAATTTCTGACAGAAGAAGAATATTGGAAATTGCAGATTTTCTTTACTAATGGTAATCATTTTTATCTTTGACTCTGCTGTTTAACCCACACTGTATTTACCCATGTCTGAATCCATATTTCAGTTGGTTAGAATAAATAATTTTCTCATTAACATTTATATACATTCTCTCCACATATTTAACATGTAACTTAAAGTAACCGTCTTTTAAATATTATCCAGATTAGCTGTCCTCTTTGTTGTACAAAGGGTTTTAAAGATAAACTAGCTGTACATGTATTTCTTAGTTATCGTATGAAATTTTAATAGGCTTCCTTCTTATTTTCAAGATGTTTCTGTAAAGATAGGAAGGGCAAAAAAAAAAAAAAAAAGGAAATTTCTATGTAGAGACTTAAGAAGTGGAATTATTTAGGACTTGATCCTGCAAGGTGATAAACATTCTGGACCTAACTAAACACATAAATAGTCTTGTGTAAGCACATGAATAGATGTGTGGGAGCAATGAGATATCTTTAAAAACCTGAGTAATGTAGCTGTTGCTGTAATCAGCATTATACTGTAATGCCTACATACCCTAAATCTCTTAATATGATATATCCATTCTGAAAAAAAAAAAACTTAGCAATGAGTCTCAGACTCAAAACAGCTGTTTTGGGTTTCTGTTATGAGACTGACAATAGCAGTGTTGGAGCCCGGGCTCTCAGATTGTTTCTCCTCTCCTCCCCCCCATCACAAATAATTAGTGAATACTCGTGTATATCTAGTGGATTGTTTATCCTAAAATTCCTTGAGGACAAAGTAAAATAATATTCTGATTTTATAATGCAACAAGATTTAAAAGGACACTGATAGATTAACAGTCACATATTTCCTTATTTATGTTACTCAGATTACTTTAGATGTATGAAATATTTTAAAAATCTAACTTTTTTCCTTGATTTGCCTTTAGTACTTCACTTCTCTTGGACAAAAACATTAAAAACACACAGCAGAATTGTCAGTTTTAACTGTCAAAGTCACTTTGTTACATACTTAAGTCAGTTTTAAAAAAAATAAAATCAGCTATGACCATTGTCCAAGGAGGGATGTTTGTAATCACTCTCATATGTGGGATTGTGGATGTTAACTAACTAGAGTATATGGTCCCCTTGTGGTAGATTAGTTTCCTTTTCTGGTGTTTATGCATTGGCACAGAAGCTCTGATGTTTGGGTTACAAGCTGTCAAGAAGAATATGTGAACTTTAAACAGATATGTTTTCATTTTAAAATCAGGTTTTTGAAATGGTTGTGAAAGCACTTAGTCGTAGTTTTAAAAAAAATATTGGAGAAAAACAACTTAAAATGTTCTTTAATATACTTCATTTGAAATATTCAATTTCAATTTCAGTTAACTTTTCTAAATTTCACTTGATAGCTCTCTCTCCTCTTAGGGGTGGATAAGACAGGGGCGGCTTGCCAGGTTTAGCTCCTGGTGGGCTCTCTCCACTCTATTTACTTGCCTGCCTGCAAGTAATGGTGGTCACAGCTCCTGTTGGCCACATATTGCCTCTCCCAATCAATGGAAGCAATGAAAAGCTGTGTGGAATGGGACAACGCTTCCCGCAGCTCCTATTGGCCAGGAACAGTGATCTGAGTCCAACAGGAGCTGTGACCACTGGTTCCTGCAGCCGTACAGGTAAACATAGCTCCTGGTGGGCTACCATCGCTAAGTCTGGCAGACTGGATCCAGCTGTGGGCCAGCATTTGCCCACTCTTGGCCTTGCAGAAAATCCCTACGGGAGGGGAAAATAAATTTAGAAAGTTCTATGTGGCTTACTACGTGGATTTTTTTCTTATAAATCATCCTCAGTGGGAGGACAACAGCCTATAGTCAGATCATGGGGAAACAATACTATAATTGTGTCAATGTCCCAAGATTCATTGGGAAGCTTGTACACATTCAGGTGTTCATGCAGAGATATTTCATGTTGCAGCTTGGCCCCTTTTCTGGCAGCATTGCTTATTTATGAGCCTTGCTGCTATTGGCAGCCTTGCCTTAGCTGTGCCTCTCTGATGGGGTGAGGACATCAGAAGTTAGAAACAGGGACTTTGAATAAACATAATCCTCACCATAACACAAAACATAGATTTTTCAGAAGAAAAAATGTGTGTGGCCAGGGAACAGGCTATGAAGAGTGAGTTTCCCTTAAGTTTATCCCAGCTCCAGCCAGCTGTGCCCCCAAAACCTTCATGTTCTCAGTTGGGAGATGTTTGTGCCCTGGAATTTGGGGTGAAGAGCTTTTGTTGTCTGTGGGAGACAGTTCACAATGGTGTATGAGCTAACTAGATAATTACAGGTGGTAACATCCTTCCCATACAGTGTAAGAATTGTTTATTTTTTGCTGTACATATTTAAACAATATTATGTGTGAACTAAATGACATAACTTGAGACCTCTGTATAAAAGACATGATACTGATAGGGCATTGCCATGCTCGAACTAACAGCAGAGAGGGAAGTACAGGAGAAATAGCATGTAGCAAAATGTAATGTTTCATTCTCAAATCCCACCTCTGTTCTGTATCCCAGATTTATGCATCTAATGTGCTTGGCACCTCTCCTGTGCTTGGGAGGCCAAATGAGTTACCTGCACAGCTGACACCAGGGCTGCTTCTTGGCCAACTGGCAGAGAACACTTTGCGATGGAGCAGCTGACTGCTTCCTCTGGTCTCCCACCCCCTTTCCCTAGACTAAATATGTCACTTCTCCAACACCTGCTGCCTCTGCCAAATCCAGTGACCGTGTTAATTTTGGCAGCTTTATTCAATTTGAAATGTATTTAAAAGTAATGGGTTTTAATTTAAAATAGTTAATTTTTAGACTGTTGGACACCCATAGTTTTGCCCAGTGGAGGGCTATGTAGTATCTGGTCACCTTCCCAAGGGACATGCATAATTTGTATATAATGCACCAAATTGTCATCCTCACCTTTAAGAAAAGGTTCAGTCCACATATATCACAGACTGCAGCATTCATCCTCTGTTATCAGAATAGCCTACTGAAACATGGTCTCTTTGGAGCCAAGCCTCTGAATTGAAAATGAGGGCTGTCTGATAACACTTCAGAAGAGTAGTGAGCAACCTGTAGCCTGTGGGCTGCATCCAGCCCATTGGGTGTCCTATGTGTGGCCTGTAAGATATTTTGTTTACTGTTGCCCATATGCAGGGTTGCCAGATTCTGCTCATTTCCATCCACGTAGATTTTTCCTAGAAGTATTAATATAGTGAAATACACATAAAGCAAGAGCACGTAAAGTGAGGAGCTTGCTGATTATGTGCAACATTGACAATAAGAGCTGTGTACTCCCTCTGTGTCCAATCAATATGCTGCTATACAGGCAGTCCCCGGGTTACGTACAAGATAGGGACCGTAGGTTTGTTCTTAAGTTGAATTTGTATGTAAGTCAGAACTGGCGTCCAGATTCAGCCGCTGTTGAAACTGACCAGCAGCGGATGAATTGGACACACCTGGGGCAGAGCAGCTGGGGTGCTGCTGGGTTGGTCCTGCAGCGCTGCTCCTCAGCACTACTGGACCAACCCGGCAGCACCCTAGCTGCTCTGCCCCAGGTGTTCCCTAGTCAGCCGCTGTTGAAACTGATCAGCAGCTGATTCCAGGAAGCCCAGGGCAGAGCAGCCGCCCGCATCCTCCGCGGCGAGAAAAGCCACTCCACGTCTCCCTGGTCTGCTGGGGGGGGGGGGCGGGTTTTGCGCCCCCCCTCCCCCCCCGCAGACCAGGCTTTTCTTGCCGAC